TTTGCCTTTTTTACACTTTAGTTATCTCATATGTGTTGCTATATTGGAACCCACTGAATGTCTCACCTAATTTCTTGAAGGCATGCGTTCTCTACATCTTACGAGTAGGTGTCACCGATCAAATGTTGGAACCTACTCAAAGGAGCTTCTCTGTGGTCCTAGGAAAGCAGGTCTGCTAAGTGACTCACAGTAGGCTTTATTTGTTTTTGAGTTGCTGTTCTCCTTGATTTTCTGATAGCTTCTACCATGGTACAATTAATGAAGTCAGGTTCTTTCTTAAAACAATTGCAGCTTCAGTCTCCAGATGCTAGTCCATCCATGAAAATTGCTGCTCTTCGCACCTTGTCATATACCTTAAAAACACTGGGAGAAGTAAGAGTTACTACTTTAAATTTTGTTTTATTGTTAATACGCTCCTCGTGGTAATTCTGCATGATAACATGCTGTTCACCAAATAATTAATGACATATCAAACTTGCATTGGCAAAATTTTTATATTGAACAATCTGCTTGATATAACAAAGTGATTCTTTTTCTTCGACAAGAAAATTATAACTGTAAACATGAATCTCATTAAGATGAAATGCTTATGTATTGATCATCTTTGAGCCTCATTTGTTGCTTATGTATTGATCATCTTACGGCAAAGGATAGATAATATTGTCAGGACATATAGATAATGTGCTAATAATTTTGTAATTTTGTTCTCACAGAAGCACAACATGCATGGATAGTTCCATTGAATGTTTTGATGTTTTTTAGCTTGCAACCATTATTAATTGATTCAATGCATTCTTTCATTCTATGATTCTCAAAATTATGATCCTCAAACTGGCAAATTCTTCAAACTGGTAAATTTATAATAGTTTAGCTGGTTCATTTGGTTATGGTAGTTCTGTAGCATACTAATGTCCTAAATGTGGTTGATGATTGTGATGTCATTCCTGTCCGGTGTTTTTGTGAAAGCACTCTTTGATTGTCCAATTTTATCACAAAGTGTCTTGAATTGTGGATTGTGATGTTTAATTGTATATTTAAGGGCTGTGGAAGGTCGCTAGAAATCTCTTAAACACTGTTTACATTGGGATTTTTGAGTGCATTTTGAGGTAAAGTGGTTAACTAAATGGGCATTTAGTGTTTAAAATCTTGGAGTTTCAAATGGAGGTAAAAAAGGGTTTCCAGGTCTTTTTTTTTTCAAATTCACCACTATCCATGAAATTCCTTTACAAAGCAGGGTTTCTTATCCTCTTCTATTGCTGTTACAAAGCAGGGCTCCTACATGGATTTCTCGTGAAGCAAACTCCTATCAGTTGCCCCTCATTTACTTTGTTTGCTTTCCTCAATTTGAACCATACATTACTTCCCTGCAAATGGTGCAAGTAGTGTCTTGGAATGAATCAGATATGCAGGGAAGTGACATTTGGCTTTCTAGAGATAGCTGTCATGTGAAACCATGACTGATGAATCGTTGCAAGGGAAAATATCAAACAACTAGCAACTACAGAGGAATAAAAAGAAGATACTCTTGTTTTTTTCTTTCTTAAAGTGATTCACCAGCAAGTTGTTTTTGAAATTTCAATGGTCGCACGATTCAGTCCTTATGGCTGTCAATGGTCCCACTTTTCAGTCTTTATCCTGGTTGAGCATGATAACATTCTTATTTGATTTCCTTTCTTTTGATACAACATTCACATTTTGATAATCAAAAACATAATCTACTGTTAGCATATCTTTTGGAAGTTAACAAGATCTGATGGTAGAAGTAGAGATGGATATGTTTTGGCTTTGCAAATGGCTAAATTGGTTTGCTTTTTCTTATTTGATTGTGATTCTTGTGTACATAGTTAATTATTTTTTGCGTTTGCTTTTTCTTATTTGATTGTGATTCTTGTGTATATAGTTTCTTATTTTTTGCGAATATCCATTGTGATATTTTCACTGTTACTTATTGTTCTTTCCTATTTCTTGATGCATTTTCAGCTGGAATATTATCTGCTGTTTTTCGTATGCCTTCTCCGAGTTCTTAATAAAGATTATTTTTCTATAAAAAAAGCATAAAATGTTCTTTGCCACTGAAAGTGTTGCGTTTACATATTGTAGTTTTTTTAGATACATATGCTTTCTACTTAAAAAATAATGTTTAAATTTGTAAGTGTTAAGGTAGTGCTTAATTTGTGAATATTCAACATGCAGGTTCCACGTGAGTTTAAAGAGGTGTTTGATGACACAGTTGTTGCGGCAGTATCTCATTCGTCCCAACTTGTAAGCTCTCTATGTTTTCTTTTAGATTTGCTCCCTAAGATGGTTAATTCTCTGTTAAAATTGTCAAATGCTTGTGTTACTTGGCAGAAGCTTGTCGATAGTCCAATGACTATCTCTGAATGATATGTGCTTGGGTTGGTAGCTGAGCGGGATTTGGAATTTGTGAATGCACGTATTATAATTATTGTAGAAATGGGTGCATACTAGAACACGAAAGAAAATCACTGTCTTTTGGTCTTGAATTTCTATTAATTGTTTACAAGTTTGAACATGTGGGTTTTATGTTGAAAGCAAATTATGCTTGAAACAATTTTTTTCAGTAGATGTTTGGCATTGTTATAACTTGTGCTATGAGTTTTAAAGGTGCTATTACAATAACTGTTTAATAAAACCATTTTTAATTAAATTTTTTTTGGTGTTTGGTAGTAATAATTGTAGAAAGTGTTATTACTTCAAAACAAAAAAGTTTTATTTTTGGTAAAAATGAGTTTTGAGATTTTAAATGTAAGTTTTTATTAAATGCCAAAACCATTTTCTAAAAACTACAATTTATATGTTTAAACCTATCAAAAACAGATTTTGGTTTTAATTTTTGTCAAAAGCATTTTTCATTTTACTCGTTTGGTTGTAAAAGTGCTTCTGAAACATAAAAGCCAAAGTCCAAATCTGCCCTAAATCGGGC